CGGGATCGTTGGGGGTGAGTGGGATCTTAAGATTTTACTTATGATAGTGATTTTGCATAAGATCGGGATGGGATCTTAAGAGTTTACTTACGATAGTAAGATCGTAAAACATAAGATCGGGAAATCCTACCCAATTATTTTTGTAAGATCGGAAGGGGGTAGCAAGGTCGTAAAACATAAGATCGTAATAAAAACGTAAGTTATTGCTAAAACTTCAAATATATAGTATTATTTTCACAATTTTGCTACAACACACGATTCTACTTAAGATCGGTGGTGAGTGGGATTGCAAGATTTTAAGATCTAGATCGTGATTTTGACAACCTTGTGCAGATCATTTTAGGAATTATCAGTTAGCACGAAAACAGCACAGCATGCCATGTGATCTGATTTTGAAGAAAAAAGTGTTCAAGTAGAAACTAAGTTCATAGCACATCCTCGATGTACATATTCAAACATCAAACCTAATTCTATAGAAAAAGTTCTTAACTACTGTTGTGATGAAATGTCAATTTCCTTTAACATAGGTAAAGGCATGGCTTGCAGACAAGGATGCTGAAGCATTGAGATGCCAGAAGCTGCTGGTGGAGGAGGAGGAAGCTGCTCAGAGAAGGTACATTTAATGCTATAACCAGTTTATTTTTAAACTTAATTTGTTGTTCTTCTCCTCAATCCTTGCCTTCTAGCGCCTTAAATGGTATCAGTTCTTGTTCTTGAGGAATGGAAAATATTTTTAGGGTTTAGTGGGTTGAGTTAGACATATACAAATGTGTGGTCTATTCTTCAATCTATCTTTCCATTTCTTTTCAAAGTCCGGCTAATTCAGTCTTGGGTTCATATGTTTGTTATCATCCTTCCTTCACATGAGCAGTCACCTTGACTTATTCGGAATTTAGGACTCAGTGGAGCTTGAATGTAATTTTTGTTTTGTTTTTGTAGTTACTAGTAATAGAGAATTCGTGTAATCATTGGACCGGTGCTACTAAGTAAACAAAAGCTGAGACTCCTTTTGGGAGTTTAGAGAGAATGGAAGGGCTTTGGGGGGAGGGGAGCGGAGTAGGAAATAGCAAGAAATTTCCCATCTTATTTGAGAGTTTCTTTGTAGAGAATGAGAATAAATTGCTTATGATTAATATATTTTAAATTTTGATAGTATTGTGAAGAGATGTAAAGGATTTAAATAATTTTTCTAAACCAAAATAATTAAACCTCCCACCCCTCCTCCCTAAGGAAAATTGTGTATTATGAAGAAAAATAAACCCTGCATTCAAGTTGGGAGACTATCATTCTCTTTCTTTCCTCTTTCCTTTTTTTCGAAGCTCCCTCCTCTTAAACTCCCAAACGGAGAACAAATTCTCAATTGAGAGGAACATATTCCCAATTGATAAACAAGAATCAGGCTGTAGCTGCAAGGAACATGTAGTCCATGGTTCCCAATTGATAAACTAGAATTGGTCTGTAGCTGTAAGAAAGAGTGACTCAAACACACATGTACTGCATGATTTTGGCAATTCACCAGCTCAATTGCAGATGCAGAACTTCATTATGCAACAACTTTCACCTAGTTTACCTGCTATTCCGCTCACTTAGTCTGCTAGCACTTGAATAAACTTCAAATTAACTCATGATTCCTATGCTTACATTTTCTTTTTCTGTAATTTCATGAGTTTTCCAAGTACTTTTTTAACTTATTTTTTATTTGTGTTATTATAAACGAATCATACTGCATTTTTTAATTACTTAAGTAATTGATAAAATAATCTTTGTTCTTGTTTATTTAATAAAATCAAAAGGTACTTAAAATGTTGGTCAGAATGTACCCCCATGCGATAGTTGTGAATTAGTCATGCATAGATATTGTTCCCTTTATTTACAGACAAGCTGAGATTTTGGAGAGAAAACGCCAGAAAAAGCTTAGGCAGAAAGAACAGAAGGCGCGAGGCCGACCTGAAAATGACACAGAAGTTAAAGAGAGTATTAGCACCACAGGAGAGAATGTATCACCAGAGGAAGCATCTTTGGCTGCATGTGACTTTGAAGCATCTTTGGCTGCATGTGACTTTGAAGCACATAGAGCAGATGTAGTTGCTGATCATGCTTCACCCCTTGTAACTTATCACTGCCCAGACACCAACGTGGATTCAAAGTCAGGATTTCATTGTGACACTGATCAGAATATGGAGCAGTGGAAATCACAAAGGGATGCACAACCAGGTTATGATTGTGACACTGATCGGAATTTAGAGAGACAGACATCACACAGACATAATCCTCGGCGCACAGTGGCTGCTAGACGGCAAGGGCTGCCTAAGTCACAACGTACAATTGCCAATGGTTTGTATGCAAGCCAAAACTCTCAAAAGTCAAAGTTTGGAGTCATTCCAAAATATGGAACCAACCGTGATCAGAGGGCAGCTCCTATAGTTAACGGTGGTAAAGTTTGGAGCCGGAAGCCTAAACCAGAAACAGATGCAGTGGTTATGAAAGCCAGACTGCATAAAGAGCCAGACAAAATTAAGAATCATGAGGTTTTGATAGGATCTGTCTCTGTTACACTGGCCAATTGCAGCCAATCAGAGGGTAATCTTGTCACATCTCAAGCAAACAGCTTAGTAGGTAATTTGGCCGACCAAAATATTACTCAGGAGAAGCCAATTAAACCTGACTCCTTTCAGGGAGGCAACAATCGATCAAGAAGTAAGCTTTGGAGACCGGTTAATCTGCACGGAACTAAAAATCCGCTGCCACTTCAAAGTGTTGAGACAGAAGTTGATGGAAAAGATGATCAAAATTTGTCTGTTCAAAGTAGTTTAAGGTCGTGTAATATAGATGGAAGTGATATTAGTTCTGGCGACAAATCCAATGTTGGGGATAAAGCAGATATAGAAAACGTTCAGTTTTCCAGCCATGCTGCAAAAGCCTTTCTTGCAAAAAGTAAGCTTTACCAATTTATAAATTTCACTCTTTTTTCCCCTATTATTCTGTATTATTGTAAGTATGCTTGGCTTGGTCTTTAATTACTTTGATCGAATCTCATGCAGGATGGAAAGAAGCAATTTCATCACCTCATGTTCAGTTGGTTATTTCACCTGATTCTGAACTTCCTGGGTTACAGCCGGTCATGGAATGTGAGCCAGCACCTTATCGATCTTCTAATTCAGATAGATGCAGTGTTCTTGCAAATACAGAGAACTGGTTGCCTGCAACCTCTGGAGTTGCTAAATCAAAATCCAGAATCAAGTCGGAGAAGGGAATCAAGATAAAGTACATTCCAAAACTAAAAGCTGCATCATAAATAGGAAAAACAAAGAAAGTAGTGGGATTTTTTTTTTAAAATTATTTGACAGATATGTTCAATTTGATTTCTCGCCAATTAAATTATCAGTAGAGGTTCCAATTAAATTGAAGCTAGGTTTTGCTAGAAAGTATTTTTGTGATCCGTCCATTTCCTTTAAACCAGGATTGTGAATTAGGTTCATTTTTTTTCATGGCATTTTTTACCGAAATTTTGTGTAATAAATTTGTCCTGTTATTATAAAAGAGCATAATTTTTTATGGACAATTTTTGTTTGTTTGTTTTGCCTATCTTCTTCCCCTTTGGTATATAATAGTCAAAATTTCTGAGTACTCTTGTTGAATTTCCGTAATGCTTGCCCTACTATTTTCTTATCTATGTCTAGCGTGTTAAGGTTCTTAATTCGATGCAGTTGAAAGTTGGACATGTAAACTGATCTTGTGAAGAAAATACTTTTTAGAGTTTAGAATTGTTATGATGAGTCAATAACATGACCTCGTGAACACGTGTTTGGGGTGCACCAAGTTATAACCAACTCTATAAAGACGACTTCATTTGATGGAATGTTTACTATTTGGATTTGTAAATAATAGATTAAGTGGAACTCAACATAATTGAATCCATTAATCTAATCTCTCAATTTTCATTCTACCCAAAATTATTTTGTTTCATTTTGTCCAATTTTAAAAAGTGCACAAATAATAAAATGAAATATCTCTTGTCAGTCCATCAATTCAACTATAGAGGTTCTTCATTTATAGAAGTTCTTCATAGGATGAGAGAGTAACCTGAATAAAGATAAGGATGCAATTTTTGGACATTAGATTATAGGAAAAAAAAATTATCTTCAATCCTTGTGCTAAAAGTGTCATATTTTAAAAAATATAATAAATCAAGAGTACATTGCTTATTTACAGAGTTTAAATTGTGCAGACTAGTAATAATAAAATGAAATAAGTTTACACAAATGTTTAACTAGATTGTATGTGATATACTATTTTAATTTTAACGTGTAAACAAAATGCCTGTGTTTGATTTTCTTGAAGAAAAAATACAAACCAACTCATAGTCAAATTAGTTTATTAAGTTTTTTTTTTTTAATATTTCTCAAAATACAAATCGACAAAGAATATGTTGCTTTGGATCAATTAGTTAATTTTTCTTTAGTTGAATTTTGAAAAACTTATTTCTCAAAATGTAAAAGAAATAACATTTTTCCAAACCATATAAATTTATACAATTAAAACAAATATAAGTTACAATGAAAAATAAAAATTAAAAACGAGCGCATCATTTTATTTAAAATAACACTAATCAAACCAACAGAAATTTCTCTATTTCAAAATAAGCGTTGTTTTAAAAGAAAGATTGTTTCAAAATAAATATCGGTCTCATTTTTTAATGTAATAATGATAATTATTTTTTTTAATCATATCTTATAATTATTACCTACACACTATTTCCAATAAACTAATAAAATTAATTTAATAAAAATATATTGTTTCATTACAATATAATTGTATTTCTTAATCTATATACAAAAACTTTAAACATTTTGAATATTCTGAATGAGAGAGAGGAAGTAACTTATTTGTATTATTAATATGAATGTTCAACTCATAGTAAATTTGGACTATACTATACATTGTTTATTCTAATTTAAATATCTCTTACTCCTTCTTTTTCTTATAGTCACAAAAAAGAAATGCGCATTGCATGGCTACCCTTAATCCTTACAAAATCAAAATCAAAATCAAACACCTCACACTCTTTTCTTTACAAAATTATAATCAGTGTTACACCAAATTTCAAGGCTTTGAATTTGGAACCAACCACCACCACCGAACACAATATCCACAATACCCCTTCACATGACATTTGTCCTAACCAAAAAAACATAGGATTGTTTCTCAAGCCACCAATCTTACCTCTTTTAATGACATTTGTAAACCATTTCCACCCCATAACTTAATCTAACCTTATCTTTCTCCTTCTCCCCTTAACTCTCTTCTCAATCTTTCATCTCACAAACTTCCTCATCAATTCTCTCTAACAAAAAAAGCTAGTACAACATTTTCTTTTGACTCATAACCTCAAAAACATGTCTGGTGGAGTTGGACCAACCGGCTGTGACATTAGCCTCCCAAAAGAACAAGAAGAAATTGTTCACAAAGAACAACACGACCAAACTCTCAAGAACAAACCAACCACCAAACCACAAAACAAAGCTAGTTTCCTCTCATTCCGACAACTCAATTGTTTAGCTGTTGTTGTTGTCTTATCAGCCAGTGGCATGGTCAGCCCCGAAGATTTCTCATTCGTACTCTTCTCAATCTTCTACATCTACTTCATATCAAAAACCGCTTTTCCAACTCTTCACCCTTCAAACGAACAACCAATTTTCAGCCGACAAAACAAAATCCTTAAACTCTATGTCCTCCTAGCAGCAATCATTGGACTCTATGCTCCTATAGCATATATTCTACATGGAATATTCGAAGGTGATAAAAAAGGTATAGCCGCAGCTACACCACATGTTTTTCTCTTGGCTAGTCAAGTTTTCATGGAAGGTATAGCTTTCTCGGATGGATTTTCCTCTCCTATAAGAGCTTTTGTTCCTGTTATGTATAATACAAGAAGAATTTTTACGATTGTGGATTGGTTGAGAGATGAGATTTATAAGGTGGATGAAGAACATAGTGGATCTTATAGAAGGATTTATGCTGGAAGAGCACTTGCTGTGGCTAATATGGCTTTTTGGTGTTTTAATTTGTTTGGATTTTTGGTTCCTGTTTATCTTCCAAGAGTTTTTAAGGCTTATTATTCTAGCCAGAAAGTTAATTAAAGAATAATTAGCTAGCTATAGGGTGTTGTTGTTTATGTATAAGGTTTTGTACCATGTTTTTTTTTGTTCATTAGTGTATGATGTTTGTATTGTAATTAAGTATGTTTGCCCATATAAATACACACTATGTTTTTATTTTATCTATCTTATAAAAATGGATATTGTTAATTATATTTTATTTTATACCATTTCATTTTCCATTTTCCATGAATTCAAATAAAAATTAAATAATATTTAATTTTTTTCTTAAATATCATATTAACCTAAAAGTATAAATCATATAGTACAAAACTTAATTAAAAAACTATAGTATAAAATATTTAGTTGGACCAAATCGTGTCATAATATCCAATTACAGCGTAAGTTTCTGAAAATTTTGACGGAGAAAGAGAGATTATCAACCATAATCACCATGTGGCTATTCAACAGAAAAGGGGTTTCTGGATTTTCGTCGAGTTCAACTGCTGAGCAAGTTACTCATGGAATCGATGCTACTGGCCTCACTGCTATTGTCACTGGTTCATCCTCTCAACTGTTTTTTCCTCTTAATTATTTATGTATTTAGAAGCTTTTTTTTAATGAAGATTCAAAACCAAAATTGAACATCTAGATCAAGATCATTGCTGTTGAAATTTGCATTATTAGAATTTGTTTGTTTATATTCTGTGATTATGTGTTTTGTTACCTCAAATTTAGGAGCATCTAGTGGTATTGGTGTTGAGACTACGCGTGTTCTTGCTTTACATGGTGTTCATGTGATTATGGCGGTTAGAAATATGGCTGCTGCTAGAGATGTCAAAGAAGCAATACTTAAGGAGATTCCCTCAGCTAAAATTGATGTCATGGAGTTGGATCTTAGTTCAATGGCATCTGTCAAGAAATTTGCATCAGAGTTTGTTTCCTCTGGTCTTCCATTGAACATCTTGATGTAAGAAAATGAATTGACTTGATCCCAATATCAATTTTATTTGAGCATTGAGTTCTTTAACTTAACTTAAAGTTTCAAACAAATTTTTTTTTTTTGTCAAATTAGTCTCTCTTCATATCTATTAGTCTTTTATTTTAAAAAAGATATTGATGTTAGTCCAAACTTCATTTGTTTGGAAAATATTATCAGATTATAGTAAGGTCTCTGATGTGATCACAAGACAAAATGTTGGACGGTTAAGAACTAACACAAGAGTAAAGCGCAGACAGAGATGATGATATTGTGTTGGATGAGTGGTAAGAATAAACATGATAACATTAAAAATGACAATATTAGAGTGTTGGGGTAATACCTATAGTAAAAAAGATGGTAGAAAATAGATTTAGGTGGTTTGAGCATTTAGAGAGAAGACATGTAGATGCTATTATAAGGAGAGTAAATTAGATGGAGGGGAGTCAAATAGCTAAAGGTAGAGGAAGATTTAGAAAAATCATAAAAAATGTTATTATGAAAGATTTCAAGACTAACGATTTGGATTAGAAGCATGATCATGAATATATCATTACGACAAAAGTTGATCTATGTAACCGATCTCATTTATTGGAAAAGTTTGGTTGCTGTTGTTAATGATTGCACACAAATTTGTAAGAAGTAAACTAAATAATTTTGAAGATAAAGACTAATTTGACCCTGAAAAAAGATAAAGGACCTGTTTGAAACTTTAAAGGAAGTTAAAGGATCCATGATAGACTTTTGCCTTTTATTTACTATCTATTTTGACTCCTGATTTATATTAGAGTTGCAAATTACTTGTTCTCTTTCACCATGAGTATCTGTGTTCCAGTCTTGCTCTCTTGATCTTGATCATTAATGGAAAACAAGCAGTAGTAATGTTTTCTTGGATGTTTATTTGTAATTGTAAGAAACAACGCAGGAGTTATGGCATGCCCTTTCATGCTGTCTCAGGACAACATTGAACAACAATTTGCCACAAACCACTTAGGTATGTGGGAAATATGTTTGATTCTTAATTCATTTGAAAATTCATTTCATGATTGATAGTGAGACATTACTTCACCTTTACTAATTTTTCGTTATTTTTTATTAGAGTTATATCTTAGGATATGAAAAATCAGCACTATAGAATAATTAAGGCCAGTCTTAATTTAATATAATAAGAAAAGTCATCCTTAAATGTATAGCTTGAATGATTCAACTCTCGAATGTTCAACTCCTCTTGTATAAATAGAGCATCATGCTTCATTCCAATATAACAATAACAAAATAAGTTTCTCTCTTTTCTCTTTTAGCTTTCTCTCTCTTCACTCATATCTCACTCTAATATGGTATCATAGAGCTTCAGTACTGTCCATGACAGCGACTCCGGTATCTACAGTTCCGGCCACCGCAACATCTATGTCGTTCCAACTCAAAATCACAGAAAAACTTGATGAGAAGAATTTCCTACTTTGGCGCCAACAAGTAGATCCTTTCGTTAACGCGAATAATCTTCAAAACTACCTTTACCTTCGTGACATACCGAATCAATACCTAACTGATGAAGATCGTGCAGCTGCTCGTGAGAACTCTGCGTATCGCACCTGGATTATGCAAGATCAGTGGTTTATGATGTGGCTTCAATCCACGCTTTCACCTTCAATTCTTTCACGCGTTCTTGGATGCGTTCATTCCTACGAGCTTTGGGATTGCCCATTTTCAAAAGCTTACACGTGCGAAAGCAAGACAACTACGAGCGGAACTCAGATCTACAACACTTGAAGACAAATTTGTTGGTGATTATCTGGTTAGCATCAAAGTTCTTGTTGATGCACTTGCTTCAGTAGGAGATCCAGTTCCAGATCAGCAACACATTGATGTGATTCTTGAAGGTCTTCCTCAAGACTTTGTCTCTCTTATTTCAGTCATTGAAAGCAAGTTTGATTCAGTAGAACTTGAAGAAGTTGAAGCTCTTCTTCTTGCTCATAAGATGAGATTCAACAAGTATAAGAAACACTCTCAAATGGGGGTTTGAATCTCACTCAAGCCAATTCTCAATCTGAAATTGATAACTCCAATAACGAAGACACTGAACAAGTTGTGAATTCAACCTTTAATCCAACCTATTCAAGAGGAGGTCGTGCATCTGACCGTGGCGGTGGACGCAGCCGTGGGAGAGGTAGGTTCAGCAACATTCAATGTCAAGTTTGCTTCAAATATGGTCACCTTGCTGCTAACTGCTATCACAGGTTCAATCAACAGATTCAACTTAAATACCTGTTGATTTTCAAACAATGAACCTACAAAATTTCTACAATCCGTATCAACCAATTGGTGGATCTCAGTTTGCTCAGCCCATGGTTAACATGTGGTCACGCCCAAGCTATCAACCAAGACTTGCTCCTCTCCCTGTTCCTCAGTCACAAATCACCCCAATGCTATGATTGCTAACACAGTTTCAGTTCCACAGATCACCCCAATGCTATGATTGCTAACACAGTTTCAGTTCCAAGCAGTTCCTGGTTCCCAGACTCAGGAGCTTCTTATCATGTTACCAATGCCTCTCAAAACATACAGCAGACCACACCTTTTGAAGGTCCCGATCAGATCTTCATTGGTAATGGTCAAGGTTTGCACATTCACTCTTCAGGCTCTTCTTATTTTCCCTCTCATTCTAAACCCAACACTCCATTATCTCTTCATAATTTACTGCTTGTTCCTTCTATTACAAAGAACCTGATAAGTGTCAGCAAATTCTGTCTTGATAATAGAGTTTTCTTTGAGTTTCATGCTGATATGTGCTATGTTAAATCTCAGGCTACCAATGAAATTCTGCTCCAAGGTCGTGTAGGAAGTGATGGCCTGTACCAATTTCCCCATCTTCAACTTCTTAAGTCTCTTTCAACAAGTCAAGTCTCATGTCTCGCCTTAGATTCTAACGCTCCTGTTTCAAGATCTGATTCCAACACTAGTGATAGGGTTTCAGTTTCTAATCAAAATGTATCAGCTAATAACTCATATAATTCTCAACATACTTGACATTTACGCCTTGGTCATCCAAATTCTAATACTATGAGACTTGTTTTAGCTCAATGTAATATTTCTTATTCTAATAAAGTTGAATCTATCTTTTGTTCTACCTGCTGTATGGGAAAGACACATAGGCTGCACTCCCCTCTGTCACAAACTCAATATCACTCTCCTCTTGAATTAATTTTCAGTGACCTATGGGGTCCTGCCCCAGTCAAATCCTCCCAAAACTTTACCTACTACATCACCTTTGTTGATGCATACACTAGATTTACTTGGATCTATTTGCTCAAAAATAAACCTGAAGTCTTAACTATCTTTAAACAATTCAAAGTCATGGCTGAATTACAATTTAGATTTCCTATTAAATCTATCCAAACTGATTGGGGTGGTGAATTTCGCCCATTTACAAAAATTCTTTCTGATCTTAGCATTATTCATCGTCTAATTTGCCCTCACACTCATCAGCAAAATGGTGTAGTGGAAAGGAAGCATAGACACATTGTTGATCTTGGTTTAACTCTCTTGAGTCATGCCTCTTTACCTCTCAAATTTCGGGATCATGCCTTTTTAACTGCTGTCTACCTAATAAATAGGTTACCAACCATGTCTCTCAATCAATATATACCATATGCTGTCCTTTTCAATCAAAATCCTGACTATAAATTCCTCAAAGTCTTTGGGTGTGCTTGTTTTCCTCTCCTTCGCCATACAACTCTCGGAAATTTGAATTTAGATCCCACGAGTGTCTTTTTCTAGGGTACTCTACAGCTCACAAAGGTTACAAATGTCTCTCCCCAAGTGGTAGAATATTCATCTCTAAAGATGTTCTTTTCAATGAGTCCAAATTTCCTTACAATGACCTTTTTTTCTCTAATGTTTCTCTCCCCTCGTCAACCATTCCATCCTCCTCCTCATCTAAAGTAACCCTTAACACACAAGCTCCCCCTAATGTTTTTCCCGTTCCTACTGCTTGCACTACCTCACACTCCTCTTCTTCTTCTCAATCCAATTCCAGCCACACATCTACTGCCTCTGTGTCAGC